GGCCAATTTGAAGTTGAAGGATATTCGAGGAGATTGTGGTTTTTTTTTCAGCTGACATATCTAGATTAAATGTTAATGGTTTATGATCTTCTTTGAGTCCAAATGGCGCTTGTGTTTCAACATTGTTAATAAATGTAATGGTAGGTTGACTTGCTAGAATCCAATCGATTTTTTCCTCATAATTATTCCTGATATAAGTAGTAAGAACATTATCTATACATTGAAGATAACCTTCGTAGAGAACTTGTTGTAGTTGAAGACCTTTTGCGTTGGTTTTTTTCGATCCCATATATTGAAGAGAAGCATTAAGATCACCAAGAATAAGACAATCATTATCTAAGTCATATATTTGTCCAAAAAGTTCGTGATGAAGTTTTATATTTGGTGGAATATATATAGATGCTATGAGAAGATGTCCAAATGATGTTTCTATTTGTACTGCTACTGCTTCATTGCCTTCAACTGTTTTGTTCAATTTTTCATAACATTTTATATTATTTCGTATTGCCAGCATCACTCCACCACTTTGTCGATCTCTTCTGTCGTTTCTAAAAATATTGTACCCTGGGAATGAAAAATGATGTTGAGGTTTGAGATTCGTTTCATTGATTGATAGTATATCGAAGTTTTTAAAACGTACACATAGTTCTTCTTTGTGCTTTTTAATCGAAGTGATGTTACAATGCATAATTTTAATCAGTTTGTTGATAGAATATATTCTTCGATATTACTATCAAACTGATTTCTAGTAACTTTGGTTGAGTTTGTTGGATTGCCTGATGATTTATTTGGTGCAATGTATTTCCTTTTAATTCCATTAGTTGAAGTTGAAGTAGATTCAATATTTTCTTCTTGATGTTTCTTGGTTGATTTCTTTATTTCTTGCTGTTGATTAATTGTCTGCTTTTTATTTGATCTTGATTCTTGTTTATCATCTTCTTCTTCTTCTTCAGTAAAGACTTCTTTTATATCAATATTAAATTTCTTGCTGAGTCGATTGGTCAATATTTCAAATCTTTGATTAAGAGTTTTGAATAATCGTTGTGTTGCTTGTTCAACAATTAACGTAATTTGTTCGGTGATTGTTTCGATCATTTTTATTTCTTCAGATCTCTCAGGAGTTTTGAGAGTAGGGAAATCGTCGTTGTTGTTCCAATTACGACTTTGTTGAACTGGATTTATTGTTTTTGCTGTTGATGTATATTGATCAATTGTTCGTTGTAACTTTTGTTGATATTCTTTATATTTCGGACATTCAGAAGATGTTGCTATATGTTGTCCTTTGCAGTTACAACACATAGGATTTTGATTACTATTTGGACATGTATCATATTTATGGTTTGTATCACCACATCTAAAACAAATTTGAATATCTGATTTACAATATTTAGCTATATGACCATATTTTAAACATTTATAGCATTGTGATGGTTTGTTATTATGATTTGCTGCTTCAGCAATAAAATGCATGGAATCGATTTGTAATCCAACTTTAACAAATAAGTCTCTATTTGTTGAATCTATAAATGTGATTTTAATTGTTTTAGTTGGAATTTTCTCCTTATTTAACAATCGAGTAATTTTTTCATATTTAAAACCTTGATCATCTAATGCTCCTTTAATATCTTCATCCCTTATTTCTAAATCAACCATCTTGACAAATGCTTCTTTATTATTTTCCATTATTCTTTTAATAGAACGTGGGATATATACGGAAGAACATTTCTTTTCGTTGGTTTGAATAACGTTCGGTAGTTCAACCAATAATTGATTAAATGATTTTACATCATTTGCATAAAGTGTAAATGAATTTGATCGATTTGCTTGTATATTCATAACTCTGACATCTGGTAAATGAGTTTTGATGAGATGACTTAATTTAATTTTGGTGAGTGACTCCACTTCAACAATCAATGGTGCAATTCTAAATTGCTCTTTCATATTTGATGATTGTTGTTGTTCATCTTCAATTGCAGATCGCTGTGATGCGTTGATGATTGGTGTTCCTGTCCTTGAATTATCTTGTTCACCTTTTTTCCTTCCTCGAACACCTCCGCCTCTCTTTGGCGGCATGGTAATGGTGTTGTCAGATAGAACGGTTTTTATTGATTGATTTATTAATTAATAGTTTGGTGGTATTTTAATAGTTTATTAGTTAAGTATATAAATAGATATATATATATATATATATATATATATATATTATAATTTTAAAATGGTCCTTGTTTGACCTTTCAGGGCAAACAAGAAAAAGAATACGAAAAAATACGTCTAATCGATAGCGTGTAAGAAAGAGGAATGGAAAAACATTTATGTTATATGAAAAAGCGGACAAGCGAAAACTTTCCACAAAAAGGGGAAGAGTTACCAAATCTGCTCCCTACCTCGAATTACCTACCTGGAGTCATTTTTTGAAAAACTCGATTTCTATTAGTTCCTGATCCACTAATAAGATTTCAAGAATACTGCAGCCCAAATTCGAAATCACCATCTCGAATTACCTTGAGAAAACCATTTTACGGAAAACTCAACTTCTATTGGATACTAGTCCACCAATAGGATTGCGAAGAAAATGGAGCGCAAATTCGAGTTCATCGGTCTAGAACACTTATATCAGCTTTGAGAAAAACCTTGAAAACTCGCATTGATGGCCGAAAAACAAGCATTCAATTCTCGATCAACAAAGAGTGCGGACAAACAGGCATAATTTTCGTTATCTATATTCAGCCTTTCAGGATTGAGAAAAACCAAAACCAATACCTTCAAAACCAAAGCTTTTGGTTTTGGTGCATGTCTATCCAGTACGCGGAAGTTGTATTCCGAAAGAAGAACAATTTTGTTGTATTTTGGAAATACAACTTCCGAATACTGATTAACATTGTGAAGAGGAAAATGACTGACTCCATGGAAATGAAGTCACATGGAGTCAAGTGAAGTCATGGAGTCGTGAAGTCTGCTGCTTCCCCCTTGATCGTGTACATACATTATGGGGATGTGACACATATGAATTCGTATCAGTCCACATTTCTCCTATGTGTCCATATACCATCTTGTAGCCCGTTTCAAGCGCTATCAAACTATGGAAATACTAGCTCGATCAAACATCATCTTATATGATAAAAAGTCTGATTAGCATCAAAGGTGAAAGTCAATGTTTATGGACTAATTCTATCCATTTATTAAGAGGAAAAACATGAGTTGCAGGAATAAATCGACTAGAAACGATATTTGGACATTGGCTACAGCGGTTTAAGATAGGTTAAACTATATTTTTCGAGGGGACAGATTTACGTTCTTAACGACTGCTCTCCTTTGAAATTTTGAAGGTGGGGGGGTGGGGCGGCTTATTTTAAAAAGTCTCTTTTGAAAAGCTATACAAAAGGTAAACCAAGTAAAGAAGCTTTTTAGATACCAAGAGAGGTAGAAAGTAGCCTCAAAAATCGAGATATTGTTGCATTTTAACCCTTTACAGCCGGATGTATCCATTTGGATACATGGAGCCAATGTTTTACGAAGAAGTAACTTGTAGCGATGATATGAAATGTTTTGACGATTTGATAAATAAGTTAACACATTTCAACACACATTCACGTGTTTAGAAGAAGGAAATAACACTCGCTAAGAAAATGGCCGGCTCTATCCAAAATACTCTAAAATAGCATCCGTATAGAAATAATCCTTTTCTCGCGTCTCTAAATAATCAAACTTCGAAGCAAGCAGTTGTTAATTTTCCTTCATAGACCTACTGTCTATTGGACCACTAAGACGGATAATTTAAAAAATCCGAATAATAAAAAATGGGAATGTATCCGTTTGGATACATCCGGCCACTAAGGGACAAAAATTTTGAAAAAGTCATTTCTTTTTGTCCAGCAAAATTTTATATTCTATGGTTTTTCTTACATCTATATTTGTAGATGAAATCACATGTTGCCTGTTTGTCGATGTTTTACAGTCCAAAGCTTAAATATTTCTAGAATGTTCTAAGATTCTGCAGTATAGTGCAATAGTAGCTCAATTTTTTTCGAAAATTTCTATAAATTCAGGAATACTGTAGAGAGTTGCTGAATATTTCGTGATAGCCTAGTTTGGAACACTAGAAAATGTTCAGAAACTCTTTAGAATGTTTCTGAATTTCTAAAACTTGTCGAAAAAAATTGAGCTACTATTGCACTATACTGCAGAATCTTAGAACATTCTAGAAATATTTAAGCTTTGGACTGTAAAACATCGACAAACAGGCAACGTGTGATTTCATCTACAAATATAGATGTAAGAAAAACCATAAAATATCAAATTTTGCTGGACAAAAAGAAATGACTTTTTCAAAATTTTTGTCCCTTAGTGGCCGGATGTATCCAAATGGATACATGAAGCCATTAGATGCCGAAGCACTTATTGACTCTGAGAAATAAACTTTTCCTATCTCCATGGTCTAGGAGCAACGAAAATCCATAAAAAGACTTTTTTGTTACTTGTCTTCTAGTAGCCGGCTGGAAAGGGTTAACCAGAAATACTTCTATCCCTATAGAATTAAGTTAATCGGTTCTGTTAGCGACAATTAGCATTTGTTTAAGTCATTGACCACATCGACACTCTGTCAATTAACACGCACAATCATTTAATTAATTTCTACTTTTACAAGAGAAAATGGAGCAAGAATAAACAGACTTCAAAGTAGTGGCGGATTCAGTGGTTGGCTGGGGGGGAGGGTTAAGCTACCCAGAAAATTTTGAGCCCCATCCCAAGAAAACTTTCAAACCATGCATTTTAGTCACCAAGGGGGCTCAAAGGCCTCTAAAAAGGGGCTTATCCATCCTCAGTCCCTTGTAGTCCAAAATCCTGTCCCCGCCACTACATCAATGTATATCTTTTTTTCGATTTCTCCTTGCTTTGCATGACTTTGTTCAGGGTAACCATTTTCTAGCAAAACAAAAACGATATCCTGATCGAATGGTCCGATCTTTCGAAGTCAAACAGTTGACATTTTAATCAGCACATTTTACTTTTTCCTGTTTATATATATAAAGAGTCTTTTCAACTAATTTAGATAATTCCTTGTACATTAATTTTGACCACATTCGGAAAGCATGGCTAACACCGATCTTCGTATCAGTGTGATAGGTTTAGGTAAACTGGGTAGTCCCATGGTCGCTGTATTTGCATCCAAGGGCCATCATGTGATTGGTTTGGATGTAAACAAACAATTCGTGGACGCTTTGCAAAGAGGAGAAGCACCTGTAAATGAACCCGGACTACAAGAACTCATTACCCAGTACAAAGCTAACATCGAAGGTACGATGGATTATTACAGAGCCGTGAGTGAGACAGATATGACAATGATTATCGTTCCAACGCCATCAGATTCACAGACAGGATTTTTCAGCAATGACTACGTACTTTCGGCTATTGAGCCTGTTGGAGAAGTGATTAAGTCGTGTAATAAATATCATCAAGTAGTTGTTGTATCAACAGTGATGCCCGGCTCAATGGATGGGATTATTCGTAGTACTC